ATCATGATGTGCTGGCACAAGGGGAGGACCGAGTGGGCATTAGCAGCTGTGGGCATAGTTCTGAGAGGGCCCATAGGACAGCAAGCTGCTCTCCCTAAGGATTTTTTGGGGAGGGTTAGGATGGGCAGTGGCTTTCCTGGACAGTGTTCCCCCATAACCACGTGACCTCAGGAGGTGGTAAGTGGTGGGGGCTTGGCTTTAGGGAAAACTTTGCTGCTCAAGCAGCATTGAGGAGAGCCACACCTCTGTCCCTGGCATCCCAGGCCACTGGAGCAGAAGTTTGGGTTTCTAGCAGCTGCAGGGTACTATAGCAGAACAGCCTGTCCTGGGGGATTCCATGCTGAGAACTTAGGCCCGTGGCCTAAAGTGAAGTGCTCCTGTCTTTTTGTCTGGATCATGTGTATGTTCTTCGTATGTGAGAAGTGTGGCTTCCTGCTTAGGAACCCTTTTCCACTGGGCACTGGGTGGAAATGTGTCTTCTGGTCAGCTGGCCATGGCTGCCTGGTGAGGTGGGAAGGTGGGGACACCCTGGAGAGCAGAGACAGGCAGCTGCAGCCTTCAGGGAGGGGGCACCAGTGCCTGTGTCTTTCTCTAGGGCTGAGGTCTGGGCCTTCCCCCATTTCTGGCCTGGAGGCCCCCTGACTCACTGCAAGTCAGAGATCCGAGGTCCACAGCTCCCTAAAACCAGTGCGTCGAACCACTCTCTTCTGGTGATGGGTCAGGGGCTTGGGAATGGTTTTACTGCCCAGGTGGTTACCACCCCAAATGAGACAGGACCCATGACAGGAAAGATATGGGTGTTGGAATCTGAAGGTTTGGGTGCAAATCCCAGCTCAGCCATTTCTCAGCTTTGTGGGCTGGTGAGCAAGGCCGCCGTCTCTTGATGAGGTGGAAGCAGCAGTACCTGTTGGATCAAATACACAGGGTTATCGCGGCGCTCTCCTCACGGGTTGCCACAGTGTGGTGTTACTGTGTCACATGTGGGACGCGTCCCTGCTCCATCCGAAGGATCCAGGAGGAGAGTGAGGGGAGGACTGCTGTGACTGGTGTGGACGTGTGGATGTGGAACCTGAGGCAGCGGAAGCTGGTGGGCAGGCCTGGAGCCACGAAGCACAGTCTGAGCCAGACCTGGTGGATGATTGTCACTTTGGTCCTCACTGCTGTTCAGCTGGACCCCCTTCATTTGTGGCTTTCTGTAGACCAGAGGAGCAGCTGCTGCTGCCAGGAGCCATAGGGCCTCCTGTGTGGAGGCCTGAGGAGAGGCATTGCCTATGGTAGCCTCATCAGCCTGCCTCTCGGGGCAGGAATGGGCATCGCTGTGCCCCAGAAGAGCACTTCCCTGAGGTCAGCTGATCTCTGTACCCACCAGCCGTGGAAAGACCCCTCCCACTCCTGGGCCTGGGGAGGTTAGAAGTTGGGTTGATGCCCAGAGTAGCACCTTGTCTCCTGAGCCAGGCAGTCCCAATGTCTCTGGAAAATGGGGAAGGTAGGAACAGAGCCTGGCTTGAGGCCTTGGGCCTTCTAAAGCCAGCCCTGGGCAGTTCTCAAGATCGTTTCCTTGTGATGTGGTAGAGAGCCATTGGGAGGGGAGCAGCAGGTCTCTGGTCCTGTACTCAGTAGTGAGAGCCATTCAACTTTGGCCAGTTCCCCACTATGGATTCCGGGGAAGCTTTGTTTAACCACAGGGTTCCTGGCTGAAAAGACATGAAAGCTCAGGGTCCCCAAGGCTTGGGATGAATAATGTGATTAAGAGGGGCAACTTGCCCTTGAGCCCAGCAGTCCAAATGCAGGGCAGAGTTTGGGCTCTAGGGTCTGGTCAGTTCCATCTCTCCAGTCATGCCCTCTGTCTCCCTTGCCAACCACTGTCCTTTTCATCCATCTGCTCTCACCCCCATACCTCTGCTTACAGCCTGCCCACACCCCCCTGCCCTTGGCCTAACCTCCCCTTCCCACTACACACATTTATATGCACACAATAAAAATGTTTGAGCCCTACCTTCCTTTCTCAGCTACTCCGATCCTCAACCACTCTGCCTCTCTGGAGAGACTTTCCCTCCCAGGGGAGAACTTCTACCCATGCCACTTGGGAAGGGAGGGGTGTGTTTAAGCATGTTCACATGGGCATGCTGCTCAGACCCCAGGGAGACAGCAAAGTCTGGGAAAGCTATTTGAAGGGGCTGCTTTGGGGAGTAGACCTGTCAGGCTTGCCTACCTTGTGCAGGTCCTGGCTTGCCATGGCCCTGTGGGCTCTACTCCTGTTCCTTAGCCAAGCAGGCAGGCAGGTCCCTCTGCAGCTCACACCCTCTGATCCCATCTGTCCTCATGCCTTTACCTTCCCAGAATGACCTTTTTCACTCTTTTCCCTGTACAAAACTGTGGTATACTTCAGAGGTCTCACTTTTGCTCTCACTAGTTCTATTCAGCATTGTATTGGAGGCTCTAGTCAGTGCAGTAAGGCAGGAAAAAGAAATAGAAGACATGCAGAATAGATAGGAAGAATGCAACAGTCTTTATTCTCAGACAATAAATTTAAAAATCCCAAAGAATCTTCATAAAAGCTACCAGAACTAATTGTTGAATTTAACAAGGTTGCAGGACACCAGGTGAATATATAAAAAGTCAAATATATGTGTGTATGTTTAATAGCTTTATCGAGATAAGATTTACATGCCATAAAAACCACTCATCTAAAGTATACAATTCAGGGGCGCCTGGGTGGCTCAGTCAGTTGGGGGTCTGCCTTTGGCTCAGGTCATGATCCCAGGGTCCTGGGATCGAGCCCCACAACAGGCTCCTTGCTCAGCAGGGAAGACTGCTTTTCCCTCTCCCTCTGACTGCCGCTCCCCCTACTTGTGCTCTCTCTCTCTGTCAGATTAAAAAAAAAAAAAAAAAAACTTAAAAAAAAAGTATACAAATCAGTGGTTTTTAGCATGTCCACAGTGCAGCCATCATCTTAATCTAATTTTAGAACATTTTGTCACTCCAAAAGAAACCTTGATCCTATACCCCCACCCCAAAATCAGTTACATTTCGATATAATAGCAAGAAACAATTGGAATTAAAATTTTAAGATAACACTTAGAACAGCATGAAAAGTAAAGTAGAGGGGCGCCTGGGTGGCTTAGTCATTAAGCGTCTGCCTCTGGCTCAGGTCATGATCCCAGCGTCCTGGGATCGAGCCCCGCATCGGGCTCCCTGCTCGGCGGGAAGCCTGCTTCTCCCTCTCCCACTCCCCCTGCTTGTGTTCCCTCTCTCGCTATGTCTCTTTCTGTCAAATAAATAAATAAAATCTTAAAAGAAAAAAACCGAAAAGTAAAGTAGAGATAAATTTGTCAAAACATTGTTGAGAGAAATTAAAGACCTAAATAAAAGGAGAGAGAGACTATGTTCAGAGATTGAAATAATCAGTATTATTAAGCTATCTGTTCTCTCCAGATTGATCTGTAGATTCAACCCAATCCCAATCAAAATCCCAGCAGGCCTTTGAAAAATACTTAAGAAAATGAAAAGACACACCACAACCTGGGAGAAAATATTTGTAAAACACATAAAAGAATTTGTATTCAAATTATATCTAGAATCCTTACAGCTTAATAAGATACACAACCCAATTTTAAAAACTGGTTAAAGGGGCGCCTGCGTGGCTCAGTCCATTAAACGTCTGCCTTCGGCTCAGGTTCTGATCCCGGGGTCCTAGGATTGAGCCCCACAGCTGGCTCCCTGCTCAGCAGGGAGTCTGCTTCTCCTTCTCCTTCTGCCCCTCCCCCCACTCTCTCTCCCTCCCCCTCCTCTTTTCATAAATAAATAAAATCTTTTTTAAAAACCTGGTTAAAGATCTGGATAGTTCAATAATTTTCTAATAAATTGATGGTTCAGTATATGAAAAGATGCTCAAAAGATCCTTGGTCGTTGGGGAAATGCAAATTAAAGCCGCAATGACATTAACACTACTAATACCTACTAAAATGGCTAAAAGCAAGAGAAAAAAACCCCAAACATCTGACCATACCAAGTGTTGGTGAGAAACTGGACCTTATATATTGCTGTGAGAATGCAAATAGTACAGCCACTTTGGAAAACAGTTTGGCAGTTTGTTATCAGGTTAAACATATACTTATCTTATGAGCCAGCAATACCACCTCTAAGTATTTACCCAAGAGAAATGAAAACATATGTCCACGCAAAGGCCTGTATGCAAATATTTATTAGCTTTATTCATAATAGCCAAAAATTGAAACAACTCAAATGTCTCAACTAGTGAATGGATAAACTGTGGCATATCCATATAATGGAGTACTATGTCAGCAATAAAAAGAAATAAAATACTGGTACACCTAAACAATGTGGATGAATCTCAGATGTGTTGTGCTAAGTGAAAGAAGTCAGACACAAGACCCTCTGTATTCTGTGATTTCATTTATATGACATCCCGGAAGAGGCGAAACCTTAGGAACCAATCAGATCAGTGTTGGCAGGGACTGGGGGTGGGTGGAGTGGAGCTGATCACGAAAGGCATGAGGGAACTTTTTGGAACAATGGAAATTTCTGTATCTTGATCGTGGTGGTAACATTTGTTAAAACTTGTTGAACTGTCAATTAAAAAGGGGGAATCTTTTCACATGTAAATTATACTTCAGTTAAAAAACATGTTTAAAAACCCCTCAGAGGTCAGTTTAAGCCTCCTCTCCTTCATGACACTTTCCCTGACCGCTTCCTTGTTGCATGCATGGCCTTCTGGTAAGTCCCTTCCAGGTCATTCATGGTTTTGGTTCTTGTTAACCACAGCTTGGGCCTCTTGATTGCTTCCGCTACTCAGGTGTGGTGAGCTGCTGGACTCACTGTTCTTTTGGCATAGCCAGACACTGTCCACAGCTGGCTCTGAGAGGCCAGGAGTACTGACTGAGGTGGTAGCAGGCTGGGGAGAGGGGCCCAGACCCAGGCGGTGTCTCTGGCTGCCTCAAGTACCTCCACTCACCTGTTGCTCTTCTCTTCCTCCACAGGTTGGGATAAACATTCCTATGGTTACCACGGTGATGATGGGCACTCATTCTGCTCCTCTGGGACTGGCCAGCCCTATGGTCCCACATTCACCACAGGAGACGTGATTGGCTGCTGTGTCAACCTCATCAACAGCACCTGCTTCTACACCAAGAATGGCCACAGCCTTGGTGGGTGCCTAGGGGACCTTAGAGGGTCTGCCCTGTGGAGCCACTTTGATTGGTAAGAGGCCCACAGGCGGGCTTGAAAGCCAAAGCAGTGTCACTGATCCTCTGCCGAGCTCTGGGGAACTGCAGCCATTTCCAGGCATTGGAGCCCTGCAAAGTGAAGGGAAGGTAGCAGAGGTGCTTCCTTTGTTAATCCGTCCATTTAGCAGCATTTATTAAGGTCAGTGCTGAGAAAAGAGCAAGGTCATGGTCATGCCCCTCGCCTGTGTGACACTTGTTGGAGCAGGATTTGGCATTGATGAGAACTACCTACCTGCCAGTGGTAGTGGTTTGCATGTGTGTGGCCTGCGCCCTGACTTTGGCTGGCCCTTCCGACATGCAAGGTGCTAGTTGCTGTGGAGCAACAGGAGGTCTGCTGTAGAATAGGAGGTAAATAGACAGGCTGGAGTCAGATGGGGCCAGGTCTTTTCTGGCCTTTTCGCGGGTTAACAGCAGCCTGGACAGAGTTCTACTTAAAAAGGTCCTTTGAGGGGCGCCTGGGTGCCTCAGCCAGTTAAGCGTCTGTCTTCGGCTCAGGTCATGATCCCAGGTCCTGGGATCGAGCCCCGAGTCGGGCTACCTGCTCCGGAGAGACTGCTTCTCCCTCTGCCTCTGCCTGCCACTCTGCCTATCTGTGCTCTCTATCTCTCTGTCAAATAAATATATAAATAAAATCTTAAAAAAAAAAAAAGGTCCTTTGATGTAACTGTAAAGGAGGGACTGACTGGAGTGAGGGCCTGGGGAAGAGGCAGATAGCCCGAGGCAAGACCGTGGTGATTGGTACAGGGCATGGGGAATAAGCCTGACAAAGGCCAGGGTGGCCCAGCAGGGTTTAGTGACAGATGGGGTGCACTAGCAAGAAGGGAGGATGGAAAAAATGGCTGGATAGTGGTGCTGTTAACCAGGATCAGGAACCCGGGAGGAGCAGCAGTGGAGGGTGATGGGGGCCCTGAAGGATCTCTTGGAAGAGCAACCCTGTACATGTGGAGAGATTTAGGATAAGAGCCTGGGAGATAGGGAGACGTTGGCTATTGTGATGGCTTGCCCTACTGGGGCTGACTGGTATTTGGCTCTTGAGTGAGAGGAGACCTTGGCCAAAGTGGCCCTGAGGTAGTGCCTAACGCTGGGCCTGCCTGTTTGGGTTTGCAGCGGTCTCTGATCTGGCAGAAACCTACCAGCTAGGCTGGCCGCAGGCCTTGCCAGAAAAGGGAATTGGACATTTGACTTAGAACCTAACTTCTAGGAGGCCTGCATCCCCTGGCTTGAGAGGCAGTAAGAGATGACTTCTGTGTGGGTTCTCCATGAGATGAGCCTGGGCTGAATTAGGGTACATGAGTGGGAATCAGGTTTGCTTGTGGCTGGGGCTGAGAGGCCAGGAGTCATCATTCCTCAACGGGACAGTCAGATGCCACAGCCCATAGCGGGCAGCCAAGAGCATAGCATGAACACTGTGGAGATGACTCAAGTGCACATCTGGAGAAATCCTCCTCTGAAATCCGTAGCTACCTAGCTGTAGTTGCTGGCATCCAGCTGGTGAGCTGGCAGCTAGGGGCAGGGTCTCAAGATGGCTTCTTGCAACCCACTTTGCTCTCTGACTTCAGCTGTTTCCTGGCTCCTTTTCTGCTGTTAGAGTCCCAAGGGCCTTTGTTGTGGGTTCTCACTCTTTACCCATGCCCCCCTTCACCTATCCTCAGTCTCATCTGCTATGGATACCTGCCCTCATCACATTCTTCCAGGTTGTCCACATTTACCTGGAGCACGGCACCTGCCATGGAATGAAGTTTGGGGTGTACCCTGCTGTCCTCTCTGCACCTTCATCTCCCTCCTCTGGGCCCTGTGGGCATGCCAAGCCCCTGAGCTCTTTGTCAGTCAGGTCCCTAGGTCCATAAGGCGCTTTCAGCCACCTTAATATCAGCTCAAACCCTCACATTGTTTTTAAACTCTTATCTCCCTATTTCATATATTTTATAGATCTCATGCAAGACCTCACTCATTTAGGAGGATACACTTATTTTTCCAGCCTGTCAGGATCTTCTGTGATTTTGCTTGTTCTTTGTCAAATATTTGATAGCCTTGTTGGCACTGTATTAACCTAAAATTTGATAAACATGTTTATGTATGTTTTCATCAAGGTCTTGATAAAAAATATTAGAAGAGGACAAGGCTGAGATCTGCATCCTTCAGGGTATAGCTGTTTGAGAATCACTTCATTATGTTAGTTTGAAACTCTTGTTTTTCTGTCTTTTCCACAAGGATATTACTGAGACTTTACTAAAAAATGTATATGGCCTATCCCTTGCATTTTCTAGATCATTAAATTTAATGGAAAGGCAATGAACTTGGATTGCTAGACTACTTGGTGAATCTTCTAATGACCTTGTTTCCTTTCCACAAGCCAGCTTATCAGTAATGTGCTTCAGAATCTCACCTGGGATCAGTCACTGCTCTCTACCCTCAGAACCCAAACCCTAACCCTCTCCCCTTTAGAGAAGCAGAATGATGTTTCCTACCTCTGACCTCCCCACTCCTTTGCTTTGCTCCATCATTCCTTTGTCACGGCACTTGCCCTTGTGTCAGTGGTCAGTTGTGTGTGTAATTATTAGTTGCGTGGAGCCAGCAGCACTTTGAGGGCCTGGCTCCTGGGAGGTCTCAGCAGATACTTGATGGAAGGATGAATGAGCAAATGAATGGAGACCGGAAACTGATGTTTCACCTACAAGTGGTCCATGCACTTGCAGCGTCATTTTTTTTTTTTTTTAAGATTTTATTTATTTATTTGACAGAGAGAGACACAGTGAGAGAGGGAACACAAGCAGGGGGAGTGAGAGAGGGAGAAG